GGAGCTGGATCTGAAGCAGAGCAGTGTGGACTTAAACTGTGTTGTAAGCAGTGCTTAACCCACTGTGTCACAATGTTAGCATTTTTAAAAATTGTTTAATTTTTGAATTTTATTGTACAATTTTATGTAGTCTGAGATTCCCCTTCCCCCAATTTCCACCCCCCAACTGATTTTTCTCGTGTTGTCACAACAGTACATTTCTTCATAAGGAGTTACAGTTCTATCAGCCTGCTATTTAAGTGTGCACTGACATTGCTGGGACAATGTCAGATAGTCCATCATCCCATTGGCATTTTTTTTTAAAGATTTATTTATTTATTGGAAAGTCAGATATACAGAGAGGAGAAGAGACAGAGAGGAAGATCTTCCATCCAATGATTTACTCCCCAAGAGAGCACAATGGCCGGTGCTATGCCGATCCGAAGCCAGGAGCCAGGAACTTCTTCCTGGTCTCCCACGAGGGTGCAGGGTCCCAAGGCTTTGGGCCATCCTCGACTGCTTTCCCAGGCCACTTGCAGGGAGCTGGATGGGAAGTGGAGCTACTGGGATTAGAACCGGCGCCCATATGGGATCCTGGGGCGAGTTCACGGTGAGGACCTTAGCCGCTAGGCCACGCCACTGGGCCCCGCCATTGGCATTTTTTAAAGAGTCCTGGTGTGAGGGAAATAAACTTACATGGCATTCTTGTACTAAGTGATTATTAGTATTTTATGTATATTGTATTTTAATGGAACAACCACAGGTTTAGAAAGAAGTAAGTTCTATCCAGTTCAATAGAACTTTACTGGGCATGTGCTGGGTAGTATGAATTTTTTTCTTTTGAGTTCATGTGGGAAAGAGGCTTCAGCCTGTTGGGTGTGTTAAGACAGAAGTAAATAGTGTGGCACATAAACACAGTGGGAAAGGAAGTCTGCTCTGAGATGGGCTGGAGCTCATGCAGCTGTTTGTTACTTTGCACGGTTTCTGCAGTCTTGAAGCTAAATGAAAACACCTGCTTGGTCTTTAGCTCCTCTTGCCCAGCTCTAGACTGTATCCTGAGAAATGCTTACATCTTTTATTATACTTTGGTTCTTACTCTCTGCTCTAACCAGGCAACTCTGAGTGTCTTCATTACCGAGTCCTGTTGCGTGAGACTGAACCGCAGCTGACACTTAAGAATAAGCACTAGAAGCTACATAGCCAGTAACTGTCCAGTGTCCAGACAGTGCAGGGGAGCATTTGGTATGCGTGAGAGAATCGGGAGGAGCTTCCAGGACCTTCTGTGTGTGTGTGTGCGTAGAAGCTTTGTCCCCCATGGATTTCTGTGAGTCTGCTTTTGCTCCCTGAGTTTGGATAAGTGAGGGGTTATGAAAAGGCAGCTCCCTCGGAGGGAGGGAGAGCAGCACGGTCTGTGTCTCCCGGAGCTTTGATAGGTTTAGGAATCTTGGCTGATATTTTTGTCCTTTCATTTATCATTTAGCTTTGTCCTTGGGCTTCATTGTTCTAGAAAGTCTTTTAAGTTTTCTATGAAGTAAAGGTTCCTGTAACATTCTGGGCTCCTCTGTGCCACATTACCCTCACTGTGTCTGCCTAGTCCGGAGTTTTCCCTCTTTCACCCACAGGGATATTTGACAGTGTCTCGGTTCATAGTTGGTGTTTGAGTCACTGGTTGTGTATACCTCATAGTGCTTAGATTTTCAGACAATGGTAAGGTCCTGCTGTTAAATAGATATGAAAATGAGTATGCATTAAGGATTTTGTTAAACTCCTCACCCATTGAATTCCAAAGGGTTTTTTTCTTTGTTTTTTGTTTTTAAGATTTATTTATTACAAACTCAGATACACAGAGAGGAGGAGAGACAGAGAGGAAGATCTTCCGTCCAGTGATTCACTTCCCCAGTGATCTCAATGGCTGGTGCCAAGCCAATCCGAACCCAGGAGCCAGGAGCTTCCTCCAGGTCTCTCACAAGGGTGCAGGGTCCCAAGGCTTTGGGCCGTCCTTGACTGCTTTCGCAGGCTACTTGCAGGGAGCTGGATTGGAAGTGGAGCTACTGGGATTAGAACCGGTACCCATATGGGATCCTGGCATGTTCAAAATGATGACTTTAGCCACTAGGCTACTGCGCCAGGCCCAAATTCCAAAGTTTTTAACTTTTCAAATGTTTACTGAAGTGGTACTTAGTTACCATAAGTAGTATATTTTGTGTTGAATTTAAGTCTTTATAAATGTCCTGTTAGGACAGTGACACATAATGAGTTAATAAGATGTTTTAATTGGCTCAAGTTATTATTTTAAGATTCATTTAACTGAGAGTTACAGAAAAAGATCTTCCATCCTCTGGTTCACTTCCCCTGTGGACACAGGTCCAAGTACTTGGACCATCCTCCAAATGTTTTCTCAGGTGCAGTAGCAGGGCACTAGATTGAAGGTGAAGCAGTTATAACTCAAACCTGTATCTGTGTGGGATGTTGGCGTTGCAAGCAGAGGCCTGTCTTGCTGTGTCACAGTGGCTGCCCCGCACGTCAGAGTTCTAAAAATTTTATTTATAAGAGATAGATCTTCCATCTGCTGATTCACTGCTCAGATACCTGCAAACGTAGGACTGAACCAGGTGAGGAAACGGGGAGCTGGGAACTCATTTTGTGCCACCCCACCCCCATATCAGAGACCATTGGTTGACCCCTGGAAGGTGTGCCCTGTTTCAGTGGTCACCTGGTACTTCTCTGAGTGTGCATTAATGTGAAAATAGAATTGAGAAAGGAGCACAGATTTGAACCCCGGGCACTCCATTATGTAGACATCCTCAGTGTGTCCGAATCAGTAAGCCACATGCCCACCCCAAGTAGACCTTTTTAAACAGCACAGATTTTTACATAGCATAAGTACATTTGAGTAAGTTGCAAATGAAGGCAAAACTGTTTCATAGATTTTTGTTTTCTTTTCTGTAGCATAAGAATAAGTCAGCACAGCTCTGCCAGGCAGGACAGAGTATGTATAGATTTTTAAAATAACTCCCAAAGAACTGATAGGACAAGGCATAGTTTTTTCTTGGAGTACAACTTCGTTTTTCTTTCCTTCCCCTTCTCCTTCCGCTTCCCTACCCTTTCTCTTTCCCTTTTTAAGTGACAAGGATTTCTAAAGCACCTGCCATTGCACTACCAGAGCGTGTGTGCTGTGTTCAGTAGGGCTTCAGTAGGATTTTTGGATTAGGAGAATGAAGTCAGGCTGTATGTTAGATAATTGAAGTTGCAGTGTATAGAATGAATGTAATGCAGGAGCTATCAATGCAGGTAGTTTACTCAGTGGCAATAAGACTGTTGAGGGGCAGTAATAGTTGAATAGGGACAGACTTGGTAAAGCTCACGATCAGATTAAATAAATCTGAAGCAGTGAGAAGAGACAGTGTCGGGCTAAAGCAAATACTAGGGCAGTGAATCCTCTTGCGAGAAAGGGCATGAAGGGGGATGCACATAGCTTTTGGTTGCTTGCTTTTTGAGATGATGTGGGATATCAAGAGGGAAGTGTTATTTTGCATTTGGAAATCACAGGTTTAGAACTAAAGAAAGATTAAAGGCTAAGGATTTTAATCTAGCAATTGTCAGTTAAATCAAATTAAAAAAATAACTTGAGAGAGAAACATGGGAAAGGTGAAGATAAAGAACAATCTGTGTGACCCTTAAGAACAGTTACAGTACATAACTCAGGAGCAGTTAGGATCTTGTGACCTCTGTTGCTTCCGATTGTTAACACTGATACACCTTCAGCTGTAATTTTATCTGTCATTGAGCTCTGAAACTTTTTCAGTAGTAGCATGTTTGTTGGCTAACAGGTGAACTTGGAATATGAAATCCTTTTTTCCCCTAAGATTTATTTATTTAATTGATAAAGTTAGGGCCTGGCACAGTAGCCTAGTGGCTAAAGTCTTTGCCTTGCACGTGCTGGGATCCTATATGCGTGCCAGTTTGTGTCCTGGTAGCTTCACTTCCTTCCAGTTCCCTGCTTGCAACCTAGGAAAGCAGTTGAGGACGGCCCAAAGTCTTGGGACCCTGTACCTGTGTGGGAAAACCGGAAGTAGCTCCTGGCTTTGAACTTGATTAGCTCCAGCTGTTATGGCCATGGGTGGCATGAACCAGTGGACGGAAGATCTTTGTCTCTCCCCCTCTGTGTAAATCTGCCTTTTCCAAAAAAATAAATCCTAAAAAGAAAAAAACGTTAGGGAGGTATGAAGAAAGGGCAAGAAATCTTCTGTCTGCTGTTTTCACTCCCCAGATGGCCACCACAGCCAGGATAGACCTGGCCAAAGGCGGGTGCCAGGGGCTTCCTCCAGGTGGATAACAGGGGTTCAGGCACTTGGGCCATCATCTACTGCTTTTCCCAGGCCATTGGCAGGGATCTGGATGGGAAACGGAGCAGCTGGGACATGAACTGACACTGATAGGGGATGTCATCAGATAGCTTTACCTGTGTCACCAGGATGCCAGGTCCAAATTAAACTTCTTCATCACTCATTTTATGTATATCTTCCTCACTTGGGGTTTGGTTTGGAGCTGTGCTCTAATGTAAAAAGTGACTTCTCCTGCAGAGAATAGGAAAGAGTAGGTGCTTACAATATTTTCTTTAAGTCCACATTGCGGCTTAGGAAGCTCTGCTCCTTTGCTCTTCTGGATTAGCATATGGCTAAATTTGAATCAGTGGTACAATTCAGTATGAAGTGGAGGAGAAACCTGCGTTGTTTATGTTCCCATTTTGTTTCTGCATTATCCCATGGTTATTGCCCCTGTATTATCCCATTGTTGATTTGGAGTTAATTTACTTGGAGGTAGAAAGCCTTCTCTGCTACTGTCATGTAGGTAGGAAGTGTGCCTTTAGCTTACTAATTTTTGCTTTTCTCTTTTATAGAATGTACGTATGGTTCTATATTAATGTAACTTGTAAAATCTGCTTAGATTTTGTGAATGTGTAATAGTGTTTGTCATTTAACATTCAGAGAAACATTGTCAGTCTTTTTTTTTCTTTTTAGATCATCCAATTATGATGGGTTTTGAGCCCCTTGTTAACCAGAGGTTACTACCACCCACCTTCCCTCGATATGCAAAAATAATTAAAAGGGAAGAAATGGTCAACTATTTTGCAAGATTAATAGATAGAATAAAAACTGTTTGTGAGGTTGTGAATTTAACAAATTTACATTGTATCTTGGTAAGTATAAACCTTTTTTCTGGGGTATAACTTTGGTTTAATAACAAATTTACCGTTTTTTAAGAGACTGGCTATCCAAGAATAAATAATACTTATCTGTGATAGCTGGATGATTGAGTGGGCTACATACATACATTCTGTTAAATGATTGTAAAAAAAATTCTTGCACTAAAATAAACTTTTGTTTAAATTTTCTATAAACTTTTTGAGTACACTTATAACACACATCCTATTTAATTTTTGTAAAGATTTTGGCACTAGCATAGTTAGCTGATTTAACCAGGTTTTAAGAATGGTGTTTGATTCCTGGATTCTGTAACTATTTTTCCATGAACTTTTTGGCCGCCTATAAGTATTTATTCCCGTATATGCATACCTGTATGTATGCATGTGCATAATTATTTTTATATAAAATGGCACTATGATGTTTGGTGACCTGTTTTTTTCAACCCCTAACATCTATGCCTTGGGCATCTTTATTTTCGTGTTGTCTTATATACATGTTTCTACATTATCTTAATGGTTCTGTGTTGTCTGCCATTGTTTGCATATTAAATTACTTAAGGTCAGTGTAATAGGCATTACAAAAGTGAATGACATTGTAGGTAAATTAAATTGTGTGCTCCTCTCTATCTTAAGATAAATTCCTAAGAAATGAAGTTTTGGGATAAAATGGTATGCACGTTTATAACATACCATATTTTGGGTTGATCTTCTATGAGTTGGAATGTATAATAATGTTTTGGGAATATTGAAAGATTTAAGGAGGGATAGCCTTAATGTCATTTTAAGGTGTAGGCATACCAAAAGGTGTTATGACTGGGTAGACAGACATTGGTTGTTTTCTCACAGACTTGGATAACATTTCCAGGCTCTGTAACTGTTGGGTAGAAATGTGTATACTTTTCATTTAAAGGCTTTTATGCCTCAAGGAATGTGTATTTTGTTGTTTTACCAGTTCTGTTCTTCCATTCTCAATAAACCAGTGGAACTGCTTCCTTTTTAAATAAAAGAAGTGACAGAGCTGGTTTGTGTCTCTGTGGACTCCTGAGAGTTCTGTCAATGTGTCAGTTATTTTCATCAAGCACTCCTGAGAAGACAATGGCCTATTCAAGAAAACTTTGGGAAGTTGACATAGCAGTGTAGGTAGTTAAGGCATTTTAAGTGATCTTTTGGATGTTTTTCAGTAAGCTGTAGGTTGTTTTTGTTTTTATGACCCATTTTATTTATTTGAAAAGCAGAATTATCTTCTATCAACTGCTTCACTGTCCAGATTCGCATAGCAGCCAGGGCTAGGCCAGATCAAAGCCAGAAGCTCTGGGTGGGGGGTGGGGGAGGTCTCTTCTTGTGCAGGGGCTCAAGCACTGGGGCAGTTTTCCACTGCTTTTCCGGTTACATTAGGAGGGAGCCGAGCAGAAATGAAGCATCTGGGACTTGAACTGGCACCCATATCAGATGCCAGCGTCTCAAGTAAAGGCCTGGATTGCCTCAGTGCTCTGGCTTTCTCCAAGCAAGTTTAAGATTGAAAGGAGCAGGATGACAAGTATCTGGCAGATCCCTTCTGCTTGGGACCTGTGTCAGTCAACTTGGGATGAGCTGCAGTTGAGGGAGACTTTGTTATTCTGGTCCTCTGTTGTTCCCTTAGCTGCTTTTGAGACAATTAAAGGGACGGACTTTTCTTGATTTAATTTTTTATCACGTATTCTGAGCCACAGGATAAAGGGAACAGGATAGAGCTGTCAGAATTTTTTCCTGCCCATTGCCAGGTAGCTATTTCTATTTTTCTGACTCTTTAACTTATGTTTCACCTTCTGCAATAAAACAAAAGACAAAATTAAAAACCACGGAGTTGTTAGTATTAATGAGTCCTTTTACATGAAGGTTTTCTTGAGACTGGTATTTTAAGTCTCTTTTGCTGGCTTGTATATAGTGAATTCTAGTTTTAAAACAATTACTGAACTTCTTTGTGATTAATCTTTCACCTGTTACGTAAATAACTGCTTATTAGCTCTCTTGGTGTCTTCCCAGTTCCTTAATTCCATGGTTTTTGACTGTTACTTCTGTGAGATTGGTCTGTTTTTATAGCTGTTCTCTTTGGTTTTTGAGCCACTGCTTTCCTAGCTTAACCTCCAGGAAAATTCTTTTTTTTTGGAAAGATTGATTGATTATAAAAGCAAGTGACTGGGTAAGATGGAGGAGATGACTTTGTTCTGAGCCATTTCCCATATGGCAGCAGCAGCTGGGCCTGGCTGAGACTGAAGCTAGGAGCCTGGAATTCCATTTCAGTCTGCCCAATAATAGCAAGACCTCAGGTATTTGGGCCATCCAGCTCCCTGCTTGTAGCCTGAGAAAGCAGTGGAGGATGGCTCAAGAGCTTGGGACCATGTACCCGGGTGGGTGCCTGGGAAGAACTTAATGGCTCCTGGCTTCAGATTGGCTTACCTCTGTCTGTTGCAGTCGTTCAGAGAGTGAACCAACAGATGGAAGATCTCTCTCTTTGTCTTTCCTTCTCTCTGTCTCTAAGATCTGCCTTTCAAATAAAGCTAAGTCTGAGAAGGAAGGATAGAAAGAAAGATGGAAGAAAGGGAAAAAGAAAGAAATAGCTTCTGGACTGAGAGCATGGTGAGAAACCGTAAGGTCGGTATAGAGAGCCTTGGCTGCGTGTTGAGTTAGGAATTAGAAAAGACGGTAACTAAGGTGGGACAAAATGACCAAATCCTAAAAGCTTTAGTCGTGAATAGATGTGGAGCTATTGTGTGTTCTTCAGTAGGGGATTGAGATGATGGCGAATAGGCTGATAGTGATGCAGGTGAAAGGTACCAAGAACTAGGCAGCTTGATTGTTGGGTATCAGACTGTCAGTATAAGCTAGAATAGTTACTCTTACACATTTATGTTCTATCATAGCACATAAGACTTGAACATAAATAGCAAGTAGCATACATAAATTACTGTAATAAGTTTTTATTTTTCTTTACAGTTAAGTCTGATGCTTATTACTCAGGCACATTACAGATATAATGAATTCAACTACCATCTATTGTTGCACCTTCCATTTTTTTATTGACTCTACTACTTTTTACTAGAGCTATCCTAGAGCAGGAGAGCAATTCTGGCAGGTTCTCCTTGATCCTGGACACTCTGGTAAAAGGTTCTGATTTGCCTTGTCAGAACATCAGGGTGGAAGGTGCTGAGGAGCCAGGCCTGACGTCCTGGCATTGAGTGCTGACATGCAGAGTGAGGAGTCTTGCTGTCTGCGAGATCTAGGGCACAGGAATTGGTGAGAGCATGGGGAAGACTGACGGAAGCAAAATAGTAGAAGAAAACCATAAAGTTAAGGAAGACTAAAGGACCAGATAATGTTAATGTTCTTAAAGCAAAATAGCACTTTTAAAGCAAAATGGCTGTATCTTCAGGGTCTCAAAATGTGTGTAGTATCTGAGGCAGCAGGTCCCCTTCAAGAGATTTGTTATAAATGAATCCAGGATTCATGCTGACATGCACATATGTGAGGAACCAGTAGCAGTTTAAATGTCCAGTGGTTACATGATCCATTCAGTAAAATGTATAAAAAATATAGAGTCAATAAAGCATAGGTTATGGGAATTTTTGGGCTTTGGGATGTGTTACAAAATGGCAAGTTATAGTCAAGAATGCTGTATATCTATTTTCAGGTATATAAAGGAAAACTTTGCCAGGCATAGAGAAATATTCATTTTAAAATAGCTTATTTTTAACTGCATTTTCAATGCTTTTGGATTTTTACATAGCCAAAGATTATGACAGCCAGGTGGAAACAGAGGAATTAGTGAAATCTGCAGATGAGGGTCCTGGAATCTGTACCTTTTGCCAGCAGTGGAGTGATAGATACAGAAAACACCTGGACATAGGATACATTCTTTAGGGATAGATATTAGCAACAGGAAGGGCAAAAATGAGAAGTATGGATATTTATCAGTTCAGGAAATCATTTTTTTAAAGATTTTAAAATTTTTATTAGAAAGTCAAATTTAAGAGAGAAATATCTTCTGTTCATTGATTCACTCTCCAGTTGGCTGCGATAGCCAGAGCTGAGACGATTTGAAGACAGGAACCAGGAGCTTCTTCTGTGTCTCCCACGCGGGTGCAGGGTCCCAAGGCTTTGGGCCATCCTTGACTGCTTTCCCAGGCCACAAGCAGGGAGCTGGGTGGGAAGTGGAGCAGCCGGGACACAAACCAGCACCCATATCGGATCCTGACATATGCAAGGGAAGGACTTTAGCCACTAGGCTACTGTACTGGACCAGGGAGTCTTTTTTACATGTGTTCTTTGTGATAGGGTTATTAATATCTGTTAATGAAGAAGCAACGTATCATGGAAGTAAGTCACTGTTGGGTTTGTAGTTTATTTAGAAAAATTGGCCAGGTAGCCTTTAAAAAATCGTTGTAGAATTACAAACCAAAATCAGCAGTTTGAAGGAAGGAGTTAGAGCCTATACTGTGCTGAAAGTCAGAGTGTAGCTGAGGTCTGAAGGCAGCGAGGCTGGCGAGGGAGGTGGCAGTGAAGGAAGCTGAGTGTTCCCTCTCATAAGAGGGAAGAAACTGAAGGACAGTGGAAAGGAGAACACTGAGGAATTTGGAGTAGAGACATGGGGGCAAGACAAGACCATTTAAGTAACATTAAGGATGTTAGTCCTTATCATGGAGCACAGGATGAGTTTTATGCAGGATCACTGGATTTGTTTAGTGACATGATGAATTTAAATTGGCAAGAAGATGTGGGAACTGCATTCCTGAGAAGAGGCTGGAAGAACACCAAAGACGCAGGAAGACAAATGAAGCCATCACTGCTGTCTCAGGGACTGTGCCTTACACAGGCAGCAGCTGATGTGAGGTTTCAGGGTTGTGTGAACTGAAGTTGATAGTATATACACGATCAATGAGATATCTAATATGAGAAAACTCAGGAAGATCTCCAGGTTTCTGATTTGCAAGTCTGGATACACTCTGGTTCTGTTCCCTGAAATGGAGAGGGGCGGGGCAAATGTGAGAGTCTTAGTTGAATTTGAGGTAGCTTTAAAATGTTTACATGAAGACATAGGAGTTCTGTGCTGGTTGTAATTTTGATTGTATGGCGTAGATAATTTGAAGCATGAGAAGTAATCAGATTGTGAGGAAAAAGCGTGCAATTTAAGAAAAGGGCAATCTGGAACTAAACTTTAGACCTACCAGAATAGACTGGGACATGACCAAGAGAAATTAGTGAAAACCACACAGTTTTTTCAAGACTTATATCATGTCAAGTGCTGCTGAGACAAATATGATGAGGTCTGAAACAAACATTGGATTTAGTGATAGTGGTGACAGTCAGGTGAGCCAGGGAGTGCAGAAAGCCAAGTCTTTGGAGAGTTTGAGAAGGCAGGAGTTGAGGAAACATGGGAGCTTGTGACAGTCTTTTTTTCTTTTTTTAAAGATGGGAAAAACTGTTTAATGTTCCTGGGAGAAAGGTCTAGTAGAAAGATAAAATTGTAATTTCTGGGAGAGTGGTAATGTTCTGAAAATGCCTTAGGGAACAGAGTCCTTTCGAAGACTACTGTTGTTAAAGAGAAGGAACTGGGGTAAGTGGCTATGAAGGGAGTAAGTTTGAGCAAAAGTACAGTTACTTCCTCTCAAAGGAGAGAGTTAGAACATAATGGTTGGCACTTTAAAATGAAGACAAGCTAGTCTTGAGATGGTAATCAGAAAGAATGCCAGGTGAAGGAGAGGAAGGCCTTTATTAAGGCAGTTCTCAGTTCTTGGTACTCCCACTTTCCTTCCTTTCAGTCCCTCTCCTACTCCTCTTGTGCCACTGAGGAGCACTGCGTAAACAGGACCAGGAGGACCTCAGGTTCAACAGCAGGAAAGCCGGTTGGGGTACATCAGGCGCCTCTTGAACACCAGTGGAGTGATGGATGAATCATGTACCCATGAGCATCTTGATGTGGAGTGGAGTGCTTACTGGGGAAAAGTACTCCCTTTCTAGGGATGTTTCTTGTAATCTCTCAGCTGTTAGCCTCCAGTTCTGCCTGGTGTGTTCCCAGGCCCAGTACCTATCCTTAACTCAAATGTTAAAATAGAGAGGTTTTACTGACTATCATTTGGGAGATGCAGAGACATTGGGCCATGATAAACAACTGTCATATGGTCTGCAAAGAAATGTTTTGATATGTTTTCTCCTCACTTGCTTGGAAGTATCTTTTGTTCTTTCCCTAATGATATCAGTAATCAATAGCATATGTCCAGTTGATCTGGTTTTTTGGTATCTATTTTTGTAAAGAAGGAACGGAAGTTCTTTCATTGCTTAGTAAATCTGTAATTGATACTGTTTCGTTGCATATGAATTTAGTATTACCTACACAATTCTGTTGCTCAACTCTTAATATTTTAGGCTCTAAAAATATCCATTGCCTTTTTGATAATAATTAGACAATTCCTACAGGTTAGACATTTAACTATCATAGTTTAACTCTGGTATGTCAAATCCAGTAAAAATTAAACTCTATGCAAATATTTTCATCTGTTGGTTATTGTATTGATGTTTTTTCTCCATGTATATTTTAGGATTTTTTCTGTGAATTTAGTGAACAATCACCATGTGTTCTTTCAAGATCTCTGTTACAAGTAAGTTCCATTTAGTGTCAAAATATTTCATCAGATTCTATTTGCATTAACACTGTGTTATTGTTTGCTAGAGCAAAAGGTAGATGGTTTAAAGGATATTACAAAGTTATTGTTATATTTTTTGTTTGAAGTATTGACTTAGAATGTTATTTTCATTTGGATCATATTCCATACCATAAAATAAACTTTAATAAATTCAAATTAAAAAGTGGCTTTCTGATCATGTTAGCATTAAACTAGCTATGAACAAGAGAAATGTGGAAAAACTACCTCTATATTTGAAATGTAAACAGTGTACTTTTAAATGGGAGAAAATTCTTGCAAGTCATGTTTGCCAAAGGACTTATATCTAAAAAATATGCTTCATTAATATGTAAACAAATACATTTTTAAAATCTTGAAAAAGATTTGAGATTGAATATGAAAAATATTCAAGATGGTTAATATTACGGAAAGAAAAATCATATGAGATACTACCTACCTTTCAGAATATCTTCAGAAATAGAGAAAAAACCTGACAACTCTAAAGGCTGAGAAGCATGCACTGATCTTGGGGAATGTTTTAAATCTGGTTCTTTTGAAGTGAAATGTGCATATCACAGATCACAGTCCCAATTGATTACCTAAGAGAAGTGAGGGTTTTTTTGGTTTGGTTTATTGTTTAAGATTCATTAAAAAGCAGAGTGACAGCAATCTTCCATCCACTGGTTCACTCCCCAAATGACTACAACAGTCTGGACTGTACAAAGTTCAAGGCAGAAGCCAGAAACTCCATTTGGGTCTCCTGTATGATTGGGAGGGCCCAAGCACTCAGGCAGTGCTCACTGCCATAGCAAGGACTGGATTAGAAGTGGAGAGTAGCTGCTATTGGAATTTGCTCTTGAATACCGGATGCTAGTATCACAAGATTGGCTTACCCTGGGATATAACACCAGCCTAGAGAGGTAAAATCTGATTTTCTCCCAAAATCCTCTGTGTGAATATTAGAACTTTTCTATTCACAATTACGTAAAACTGAGGCAACACAAATGTTGCTGAACTGGTGGAAGGCCACTGTGTGGTATGTGGCCACAATATAACTAAAACAGCAAAGAAGTGCTATTATACCTAAGAGTACAGATGAATCTTAACTGTTATGTTGGGGTGATGAGTCTGACTCAGAAGGATTATGATTTTTAGTGACATTCTAGCAGTAATAAGAGTTGAAGATTCAGTGGTTTGGAGTAGGGGAGCACTGGAATATAAAAGGATCACATGAGGGAGTGTTTGGGGCTGAGACATATGTTCTTATTCTGATTATGGTTCTGGTTAGGTAGCTAAGCATTTGTGATAAATACCTGTACAATGAAGGAACTTACTGTATTTAATTTTTTATTTCATTTTATAACACAGTTCTGTAGGCTCTGGGATTCCTCCAACCCCTCCCCATGCCCTTCCCCCATATTGATTTCTTCCACATCATTACAGTAGTACAGCTCATAATTCCATCATTGCGGGCATGGACCATGCAGAGTGTCCAGCATCTTACTGCTCAGATAAATTCAACAGTTTCATTGGAAGACCATGTTTGATCTGAAAATAGAGCTGGCACAATATCATCCCCTCCAGTGAAAGACACACAAATTCAACAACAGGAAGAAACATGGAACTTTACAACATCATGAATATAATTGACATGCTATGTAGTGACCAGTGTGTTAGAATATTCAAGTTCTTAACCACATCCTGTAACTACTTCATTGACATCTCAATTTTAGTTTATACATAACTGACTGCTATAAACCTTAACATGGCTGTAGGGTACTATTCAGCTGTCTTGTCTTTTTTTTTCCTTCATATTTATATTTAGCAGCTTATAATATTCAAGCATGATTTTACTGAACTTCATGAGTTTTAGGATAGTCCAAACAGGCTTATAACTCTTAACAAGCCATATGTTATCTATTGAGGAACAGAACAGTTTAAGGAGGTGTGTGCAGAGAAATCTTCAGTACCTTAGTGAGGAGTAACTGATCTTTGTGTCCTGCCTAGTGAGGTATATGATAGTCTAAGCTGACTTTTTCTTGTCTGTTCTAAGCTTTCCTTATTGGTCAATCTGATCTAATTTTGGGGGCTCCAGAGGAAGCCGGAGGTCATTGCAAGAGAGGGTGGGGAGCCAAAATTGGAATTAAGGACCAGAGGAAGCTCCTCTCCAAGTCCCAAAGGAAGTTTGGGTGTTCTGGAAATCTTAGTGTATTTTGGAGATTAGCCTCTTATCTCCTGTGTAGTGTACAAAGATCTTCTCCCATTAGTGGGTTGCTTTTTTACTTTGTTGATAGTTTCTTTTGCTGTACAGAAGCTTCTTAGTTTGATGAAGTCCCATTTGTTTATTTCAGTCTTGATTGCTATTGCTTTTGGTTATTTCTTAGGAAGTCAGGGCCTACACCTAAATCTTGCAGGGTTCTTCCAAAAGTTTGAAGGTTTCTGGGTGTAGGCTTAGGTCTTTTACGTACTATGTTCCTGGATGGATAAAATCAACATCATCAAAATGTCCATACTACCAAAAGCAATATATACATTCAACGCAATCCCAATCAAACTACCCAAAACATTCTTCATAGAACTGGAGAAAATGATACAAGGTTTGTCTGGAAAGAACAAAAAAACATGAATAGGTAGAACCATCTTGAAGAATAGGTATCTGACAGGGGAGATCACAATTCCAGACCTCTGGACATAGTATAAAGCAGTACTATCTGCTGGGGTCCGTGCAGTAGGTGTGAATAACACGAAGGTGTGAAGAGAATAGCTCCCCTGTTTGGCAGGGCCCGGGCAGCTTCCAGCTGTTTGGCAGGGCCCAGGCAGATTTCTCTGATCACCTTGACAGCAGTTTTCACCCCCTTTCGCATGGACGCTCAACCACCCCACTAAGAATCTTGCAATCTATTAGGCATAGTTTGCCCCTGTGAGATGGCTTTTACAACCAACATGAGCTTAAAAGTTAATGTTACTGATAATGTCTTGGTGAGTGGGCCTTTAACTGTGCACAGGAGTACAATTAAGCCTATGCTGTTTCCAGACATCTTATTGTGTGCCTGCCCATTGCTCTGAAATCTGGCCCGAACATTTAGCATGCTTTCTGGGAAATGGCTTGATAAGAGTTTCACAAACTAATGGAAGTGGTGGGAGTATGGGTTGAAATTGCTATGACAAAAATATAGCTACTGGGACCCTAAAAGCTATCCTGTTACTGGGATCCTAAAAGCTATATTGTTACTGGGACCCTAAAAGCTATCCTGTTACTGGGATCCTAAAAGCTATCCTGTTACTGGGACCCTAAAGATTATCCTGTTATAATTACTGTGACCCCAAAAGGCCATCCTGCTATGGCAAAAATATAGTTACTGTGACCCTAAAGGCTATTCTGCTATGGCAAAAATATAGTTACTATGACCTTAAAGGTTAACCTGTCCTTGCAACTCCTGTAGTTGGTTTGGCTGCCTTCATAATTTTTTTTTTAAGATTTATTTTATTTTTATCGGAAAGGTGGATATACAGAGAGGAGGAGAGACAGGAAGATCTTCCGTTCGATGATTCACTCCTCAAGTGACTGCAACGGTCGATGCTATGCTGATCCGAAGCCAGGAGCCTCTTCCAGGTCTCCCAAGCGGGTGCAGGGTCCCAAAGCTTTGGGCTGTCCTCGACTGCTTTCCCGGGCCACAGACAGGGAGCTGGATGGGAAGCGGGACCGCTGGGATTAGAACCGGCATCCATATGGGATCCCGGGCGTGCAAGGCGAAGACCTTAACCACTTGCGCCACCGTGCTGGGCCCCGTAATTTTTTTTTTTAAAGATTTATTTTTATTATTTTTTTTATTGGAAAGGCAGATATACAGAGAAGAAGATCTTCCGTCCAATGATTCACTCCCCAAGTCAGCACAACGGCCAGTGCTAAGCCGATCCTAAGCCAGGAGCCTCTTCCGGGTCTCCCACGCGGGTGCAGGGTCCCAAAGCCTTGGGCCGTCCTCAACTGCTTTCCCGGGCCACAGGTGGGGAGCTGGAAGGAAAGTGGGGCTGCCGGGATAGAACCGGCATCCATATGGGATCCCGGGCATACAAGGCGAGGACCTTAACCACTTGTGCCACCGCGCCAGTGGGCCCCATAATTTTTTAACTAGAAGAAATATAGGGTGATTTTACTAACATCATATATACTTTTGATTATTGTTTGATCATTTATGAGGTTGTAGAACTTGCAGTTGTAGAGGGATTTAATGTTTGAAACCTTTTGTCTTAGATCTTTATGTTTTTTCTCTTTTGATGTATTTCTCTCATTAAGTGATGGATAAGTTGTAGAATAAGAATTGTAGTAGGAATGTATTACTTAATAAATGTGTTGTCTATTGAGAAAATGTTGGCTGCAACATCTGAATGGATAATGCCCTGTCTTAAGTTGAAACTACTTGTAGAGTTATCTTTGGAAACATTTTACTTGCCCATTGTAGAGTGGAGACCTAAATGGAGTAAACATGGCTCATTGTTAATTGCAATTCTTTCCATCGTGGTAACTCTTGCTTAGTTAACAAACTGTGTGAGCCTGCAGGCCTAATGACCTTTGGTGTCATTGCCCCAGTCCCCATAAACCAAGGCCTCAGACCTTTTCCCATATGTAATTCAAGGTAGGGGTCCAGTTGTCACAGGCAGCGCCAAGGATGGGACGCAGACTTGAGGAGAGTAGGTGGGGGCTGGCAAGCTGAGATAAGCAAGGAATATGGGGTCCTTCCTCACTCGCCTCTCAAGCTGTTGTAAATTGTGCTCCCCTTGAAGTTATGTCAAAATGCCCTAAAAAAAAAAAAAAAAAAAACATGTACTGCTTCTGTATAAATTAAGTGGACAGCTTTGTCTCGAGGTCCACAATGATGTTGGAATTGTAGTGGTCCGTCTTTTTTTTTCTTCTTTCTACGTCTATTTCACCCACCCTTCTCGAGCTCTGAACTCAGCTGGAGCTGGACTCTGGCAATTATTAAAACAGCCTGGTATTGGCACAGAGAGGAGGATCAGTGGAGTAGAACAGAAGCAACGGAAGGGAACCCACACAGATTCAGCCAAATAATCTTTGACAAAGAAACAAACAATAATCCAGGGAAATTGGAAGGTCTCTTCAATAAATGCTGTTGGGACAATTGGTTGATAGCCTGCAGAAACAAGAAGTTAGATCCACATCTTTCACTATATACTGTATTTAAATTTAAAAATGAAATTTAAAAGCTGAGTTAGGAAATCAAGTGAGGTATGGCATATTAAATGATTAAGGTACTTATAACGTTTTTTACAAAGCATTCTTTAGCAATAAAGGCAAGTATTTGTAGTCATCTAGTATTTCGTATTTTATGGCAGCAGTTTCTTCACATTGAGACTAGTAAGTTCATTTTAACTAGTTCAGTAGTTAAAATGCACTTTTCATCATTATTAAGTACAGTGCACATTCCATTGTGTTATAGCACAATCTTTACACATTTTTGCTCCTTTTCATATATATTCTTTTTCTTGAAACATATTTTTCTTGGAAAGGAAGACAGACAAAAAGCACTTTTGTCTAGTAGTCGGCTTCACAGGAGCTTCTTCCTGGTCTCCCACATGGGTGCAGGGTCCCAAGGCTTTAAGCCGTCCTCTGCTGCTTTTACCAGACCACAAGCAGGGAGCTGGAAGGGAAGTAGAGCAGCCGAGATAAGAACCGGCACGCATATGAGATCCCAGTGCATGCAGGGCAAGGATTTAACCACTAGGATATCACGCTGGGTTCATTCCATATATTCTAAAAACAGGCAAAAGTATCTTATATAATAGTTCACAGATGTCCACAGCAGCTGGGACTGCGCAGGCTGAAGGTAGAATCCTGGAGTTCAGTCTGGGTTCCCCATGTGGGTAATGGGAACTCTGGGATTGGAGCCACCCCCTGCTGCCTCCGAGTGTGTCCATTAACAGGAAGCTAGAATTGGAAATGGAACTGAGCTGCAAGCCTGGACACTCTGCCATGGGATACAAAGGTGTCTGAAGCATGTTCCTAGCCACTGCATGTGTTTTTATTCTCCATCAAAATAGACCTTTACACCTCAGTTAAGGATTACAAATGTGCTGTGGAAGCAGTGATTGATAAAAAATTCTCTGCCAACTTTTCATATTTTAGTCACAGTAGTGACAACTGTATGTGTGAGAGCATTACTAATATGTAACATTTGTTTTAAGACCACTTTCCTGGTGGATAACAAGAAGGTTTTTGGAACTCATCTCATGCAAGACATGGTGAAAGATGCACTTCGGTCTTTTGTCAGTCCTCCGGTGCTTTCCCCTAAGTAAGTATTCTAAGACATGTAGTCGTGTGTGTGTTCCTTTAAATGTTAACATGCTTGTACTACTATGTAGCCAAAGAGTAAATATTGTTTTGAGGAAGGCTTCTTCTAAAATAATTCAGTCATGTTTATTGATCTTTGCCATATATCATTGAGGATAAAACTAAAGTTTCTGTTGAGGTTGATATTAGGTCTGTTTTGAGATGGAAAATTTGCAGGAGTTAAGCAGAAATTCATTAATTTAACTTTGACCTTCATGCTTTGTGTAAAGCATAGTGTTAGGTACTTTTGGAAAGTAATATTTTGGAAGGGGTGATCGCTCTTCTGTTTTGAGTGTAGGTAACAACTAAAAATGCAGATACTCGATCCTTGAGCTGGACTGTGGTAGAGGCACTGTCTTGAAACCTCGCTGTCAGAAGAGTCATGTGAGCTGACATCTTAGGAAATGAGAGCTTATTCTGTAGAGTGGGAGGAAGTCACTATATCTTGTTTTTTAAGTTTTTACTTACTTGTTTAAAAGGCAAAACAATAGCAGACACAGACACAGACCTATTTGTTGGTTTGCTTTCCCAAAAGGCTATATTGGCGAGGGCTGGATCAGGCCATGAAGGTCTCCCAGTTGGGTGTCAGGGACCCTTGGGGGGAAGCCATCACAGGTTGTCTTCCTGAAGCATTAACAGGAAACTGGATTAGGAGTGGAGGCAGCACTTGATCCCAAACACTCCACTGTTAGTGACATGGGTTGCTGGCAGTCAGTGCAGCAACTTAACCTAACATGGCCCCTCCCCACATTGTCACTTCTTAGCCAAGAAGCCAGTGTGTGTCAAGATGGTGAAAATGTGGAGTAAAAGAACAATAAGCAGTTGCAAATCCTCACCAACAATCTATTGAATAAATGTTACCAAATCTTCTAAAACTCGTTGATAGCTGCAAATCTTATATTTGATAACCTTGAAGCTGACCTGAGACTAATTATACTATGTGAGTATAATTTAGAAAATATTTGTAATTATTACAAGTATTTCATTAAACAAAATTAAAGGAAAATGTTTACAACAAATCCTGGCAGAATTGTGGATGAGCATGACACGGAAGGAAGTGATATGAAGATGGATTCCACCGGAGCTAGTAGAACTGTGTAAGCATTGCAGAGTTTCCTTCTGAGCTGACCTTGGCTGGGAACTGAGGAGGTCAGCTCACAGCCCGGGGGGGCCTGTGGGAGAATGATTGCTGCCAAGGAGCTGTAAAGGTCCTCAGGGTTGGGTTTCTTTCACAGTAAAATTCCTGGTCTTTAAAACGGCCTCTAGGCTCAATTTGCTCTGGTCTAGGCCTTGTCTTAACCCTTCTGACTTCATCTTACTGCTTTCACCCTGCTGTCTCCACCTCAGGGCACAAGGAACGTTTCCCTCAATGTCCAGGACTGACTCTCCACCATCAAATTGTAATTAATACCATCACTTTTTGTTTGTTTTTACTGTTTATTTATTTTTACCGGAAAGGGAGATTTATAGAGAGAAGAAGAAACAGAAAGATCTTTCATCCAGTGGTTCACTCCCCAAATGGCCCCAGTGGCTGAATTTGAATTGATCTGAAGCCAGGGGCCTCTTCCAGGTCTGCGTGCAGACACAGGGTCCCATCCTCTGCTGCTTTCCCAGGCTGTAAGACAGAACTGAATGGGCAGTGCAACAGCTGGGACAACAACTGGTACCCATATTACAATCAAGTTTTAGTCACTCTCCCAAGAGCGTCCCTTACCACCCAGTTCAAAGAGCACATCTACTGGCACAGCACTTCATTGCTTACTCCGGTAGCAGTGCTTTTCCTACCTGTATGTGGTATACTTCTTCAGCAGTTTTGTTTTCCATCTCTGCCTTTCCCATTCCCATCACCTTCTTTCCCCATTAGGATTCAGACACCTGAAAGTCAGGGCAGGAGAATTTGTCATTTGCGAACATGCATATAAGAAAAAAAAAGCATGTCTTTTCCCCCTTTTAAATTGTATTTAAATAATATAAGTAGATGTTTAATAGTTTATATTAAATTAATAGAGCAGCCTCGTTAATTGTACCTTTTATCATTACAAAGTATCTTTATTATTAACTAATGCTTATTGCTTACGTTTAATGCTTTCAGTCTTTATGCTACCTTATTTAACTCCTTGAGTAGTAATTTTCATTTTCCTATAGTTATACCTGTGTCATTGTTAGATTTTTCTGTATTGACAGTCTGGTGAATATGAAATAGTGTCTGAACCTGTTTAATTGGCCTTAATCCCTTTATTCACTTTTGATTGTAAATTGTCACTCTTATTATCCATTTTAAATACAGCTAACCTGCAGTATTCTCAGTAGTTTTCTGGCATTTTTTAGTCACCCCCTAGTCAGTGCTAGTTCTGCACTCACACCCTTGGCAGACATGCCCAGAGAATATACCCAGAGCAGTAGATGGCTGAGGTCCATCCAGGCAACTCTTTCTGCTTGTTTTCAGCCTTCATATTCTATTCAGTTTGTGTTCCATTCTATTTACTGCCGCCTTGGGTTTCACATTTTTGTGATACATACACACACACAGACAGGTATGCATGTATGTTGATTGAATTTTTTTTAGAAAAAGATTTTGTTTGAAAGGTTGAGTTACTGAGAGAAGCAGAGACAGAGAAGGATCTTTCATTCTCTGCTTCACTCCCCAAATGGCTGGAGCTGGACCAGTTGGAAGGCAGGCTTCTCACTTGGGTGCAGGGGCCCAAGCACATGGGCTGTCTTCTAGGCCATTAGCAGGGAGCTGGATGTGAAGCAGAGCAGCCGGAACTTGAATTGGCAACCCATGTGGCTGGGTCAGGCCAAAGCCAGGAGCTAGGAACAGCAAGGTCTCCCACTTGGGTGGTAAGGACCCTGCTAGTCAAGTCATCACTTGTTGCTGTCCAGAAACCATGGACAGGAAATTGGATCTCGCACCACAGGTGAAGGTTTAATGTGCCATGCCACCAGCCCAAAATTTTAACTGTTAAAATTACTCCAAATAGAGCCTTTTTTAACTTGAGAAGGGTATTGTGTACATTATGGAGAAAATACGTGAATTGAATAAGCTTTGTGTTACAGAGCAATTGGGCCTTGACTTTGATGTTCATCAATTAACATAGGTGAAATTAAAAAAACTTATGAAAGCATTTTTTAAATATGAATTTTAAAAACATTTACATTGAAGTCAACCTTTAATTCTATTTTCCACAAACTTTTTGGAAGTACCCGCATACAGTCAATAAAATGTCTTTGAATCAATACATGCCAAACAGGGTTATTGATGTTTTACTTCATGAAAGTATTGTAGCCAGAGGCTTACAGTAACTTGACCTTGTATTTCGTCTGGGAGCAGTGATCCAGGAGCCACAGATCATTGCTTTTGGAGCTTTATTGAACCTATGTCCTACAGAGAAAAATGGACATGCATGTGCAAAATTCACTGGTCGCCTGTGAACATTTGCAGAGAGATGGTCTCTTCTTGGTCCACTCCCCAAATGTCCACAGTAGCCAGGTTGAGCCGAGCTGAAGCCAGGAGCCCGAGTCTCAGTTTGGAGCTCCCAAGAAGGTGGCAGGCACTCAAGTACCTGAGCCATCTTCTGCTGCTTCCTAGCGTAGGCATAAGCAGGAAGTGGGATTGCAAGCCGAGGAGGTGGGACTCAAAAAATCCACATGCTCCAATTTGGGATGCAGGAATCCTGAGCCTTGTCTTAACCTCTACACCAGATGCTTCCTTTCCAGGGTTTTTAAAACTCCATGTCAGTCTGATGGAGATTCTGTCTTATTTGTGATTTGAAAGTTTCTAGTGGAGCATTGTGGAGTTTATTTTAGAATAGGTGCCCTACAAAAATGTGTGAAATTTTCCACTAGTCTTAGCAAAAGCTTAAGTCAGTTATGCCTCTCAAGCCTTCAATTCAGAGTGTTTTCCTTGTTACTGAGCTCTTGCCTAACATTCAGCCATTTTTCCCTCCTTTTTAATAGATGTCCTGATATCCTAACTCATAGATAGCTTGTACATATTCCTTACAGCATCTCCTTGTTATTTTTTTTTAAGACTTACCTTGTTTGTTTTGTTTTGTTTTGTTTTATTGGAAAGTCAAATATACAGGGAAGAGGAAAGAGAGGAAGACCTTCTATCCACTGATTAACTCCCCAAGTGGCCTCAACGGCCAGAGCTGAGCCAGGAGCCAGGAGCCAGGAGCCAGGAGCTTCGGCTCTCCCATGAGGGCACAGGGTCCCAAGGCTTTGGGCCATCCTCACTGTTTTCCCAGGCCACAAGCAGGGAGCTGCATAGGAAAGTGGGGATGCAGGGATTAGAGCTGGTTCCCACATGGGATCCCGGCTCATGCAAGGACTTTAGCCACTAGGCTACCATGCCAGGTCCATCTCGTTGTTATTTTGATGTATATGAGAAAGTTCTTCCTCTTGATCTTTAAATCTAAGCCTTTCTTTGATCTGAATTTTTAAAGTTTGGAAACCATTTTTAATCCAAAATGTCTTTTTTCTTCTTTTTTAAGTGCTCCGTGTTAGTTTATTGCTTAAATAATTTTGTTTAGGTTACAGGCATATTTAATGTTAGAGCACTCTTTTTAGTAACCCCCTGTTCTAAGTGGTCTGCTTTCTCTTCCTCCTGGTACCAGCTATGCTGTTATTTTCACTGCGTGGTCATGGCTGGCTGTTTATCTCTGAGGCTCAGATTGCTCCACTCTGACAAGTTACCAGATTGTATTGAAGCGGCAGGACCAAACCTTTGTTTTTGCTCAATTCCTTTAGGTGTAAATGTGTCTGATTTTTCAATAACACAGAAAACAACTTTCCCCATCTTTTCTGTTCTTGCAGCTCCTGCAGGGCCAGAAAGCATGTCCTCTCTGGCAGCCTCTTTTAACCAGGGACTGCTCCTGTGGGGACATTGTGACACACAGGTGGAGCTCCACTTGCAGTGCTTAAGTCCTGGGTACGCTGCTCTTCTAATCCGGCTTCCTGTTCATGACCCTGGAAGGCAGCCAGTGAGGGACCAAGCACTTGGTTGCTGGTCACCTACGTGAGAGATCTGAATAGAATTGCTGGATGCTGACTTTGACCTGGCTAGCCCTGACTGTTGCAGGAATTTGGGGATTAAACTAGCTGATGGAAAAATCTCTGTTTCTGTTGCTCTGCATTTCAATTAAAGTATTTTATTTAAGGGGGAAAAAAATGATGCTGTTATCAGGAAAGAAATAGTGCCATGAACCAGCTTATGAGGTGAGATGATGAGGTATCAGAGGAATGATTCTGTAGTGATCTGAAGTAGAAATTCATCTTACAAAATCCTGAATAGTATCCTCTTGGGAATTATGCTATACACACAGATCACGTGGATATCAGCTACCAGTAATTTTATGGTATTGAGGTCGGATCGTGCTAGTGCTTTTCATGTTGCATGTTTTAGCTCCACTAAAATGCACATTAATTGTGTTAATAACAGTAATTGTGAAATATTTCCTAATGCTAGTGTATTTGGTTCCATTTTTGCCTTTACACTTCCTCTCTCGGTGGCATCTATGATCTTCGCTTCTGCTGTTCTCTAAGCAGGAAGTTAGAGTTCCATAATGTGTAACTGTTACCTTGCAGGTGCTGCCTATATAATAACCACCAGGCTAAGGACTGTATCGACTCTTTTGTTACTCACTGTGTTCGGGTAAGGCCTACAGTTGGGATTGCTGTGTTAGATACTTTAAAATTGTGGATGTAATTCTTTTAATATAATAGGTGTTTTTTGAAAATTCTAATTAAAAATGTCTTCTGAGCACTTGAGTGCTTGGCCTTGATAGTAGCAGCTTCCTGGTGGTGTTCAGTACACAGGAGGCCTTTGGTGACTTCACTGCAGCCGTGATTGTGGTAATGGGGAGTCAGCGCCCCAACAGGGGAAACCCTGGCTCTTCCCTCAGGGCTGCTTATCTTTGTAAGGGATAACTATAATGGATAATTATAAATTTATTAATTTAGATCAGGCTTGCTTCAAATCTCAAGCAATTAAGAAAAATGAAAAAATCATAGCAAAATAAATTATTATTTATTGTTTAATTATCCCATCAGTTCTCTTAGAGTTGAGCTCCACTAAAGCCTCATTCTAGTTTCTAAATATATGTGAAAGACGAAATGCTAGCGTGAACAGAGAATCAATAGAAGACCTGATTTATTTGTGTCACTAACATTTTATCATCGTAAAATGTGTAATTTTACTTTTCTTATAAACACCCCGCTCCTTTGAAGAGTGGAGTGCTACTATCACCTTTATAGGGCAGATGTTGATAAAATAGGATAATATTTGGCAAAGTATACAAATAGAAAACATTGTGCTTCAAAAAATTGTCATTCCTCCTTGTTAAATCTGAGCACCCCATCCGTATCTATTATCTGATTAGTGAAATAATATAATTTGTATATGAAAATACTGTGCGCGGAGAGCAGAGTTTTTTTAAGATTTAATTTTTTATTAGATACACAGGAGGAGGAGACAGAGAAAAAGATCTTCCATCTGATGATTCACTCCCCATGTGGCCACACTGGCCGGTGTTGAGCCAATCCAAAGCCAGGAACCAGGAGCGTCTTCCTGTTCTCACACATGGGCGCAGGGTCCCAAGGCTTTGGGCCTTTGTTGACTGCTTTTCCAGGCCACAGGCAGGGAACGGGATGGAAAGCAGGGCTGCTGAGACATGAACTGGTGCCTGTATGAGATCCTGGTGTGTGCAAGGCGAGGACTTTAGCCACTAGGCTACTGTGCTGGGCCCGAACGCTGCCTTTTGACTTAAGCAGAAAAAAACTACTGGAAAATGCAAGAAGATATCCAAAGATCAAAGTAAGATTTTTGGCATATAAAATCAAGTTTCACAGTCACTCTCCTCGATACTGGTAAATACTGGGGATGAGTGCCTTTTTAAAAAACACCTTTGGGGTCCAGTGCGGTGGCCTAGCAGTTAGTTCTTGCTTGGAACGCGTCAGGATCCCATATGGGCACTGGTTCTAATCCTGGCAGCTCTACTTCTCATCCAGCTCCCTGCTTGTGGCCCGGGAAAGCAGTCGAAAACGGCCCAAAGCTTTGGGACCCTGTACCTGCGTGGGAGACCTGACAGAAGTTCCTGGCTTCGGATCGGTGCAGCACTGATCATGGTGGTTACTTGGAGTGAATCATCAGATGGAAGATTTTCTCTGTCTCTCCGCCTCTCTGAGAATCTGACTTTCCAACAAAAATAAATTTTAAAAACTTAGTTAAAAAATTAAAAAGGAAAAAAAACAGCATCTTTTTCTTTTAAAGTAGATTTTGAGAACTTGAAAACTTAGGATTTTAAAATGAGAAAATAACATTGATGATTGAAGTTGTATATGTTTTGCAGCCATTCTGTAGTCTTATTCAGATCCATGGACACAACAGGGCCCGGCAGCGAGACAAGCTGGGTCACATTCTTGAGGAGTTTGCTACCTTGCAGGATGAGGTAAGAACCACCTTCCTTTCTCCTCAAATAATTCATTTTCTTTGTTCAGATTTTTTAGAATAATTTCTGAAGTATTTTAATTTTTCTCTGATTTTCTTTTTACTTAAAAGATATTAGATATAACGCAAGAAGAGTTTGTAAAAATACTGAACGATCTTCAAAGCTGATGAACACCTTGACATCTTTAGTAATCAAGACCAGTTAAGAATATGTGTAGGACTATTTTTGTAGCAAGTTCACATTATCATACAAACGTGAATTTTAGGGCTAACTTGTGAGCAACAGCAGTGTGTATTAATAATGTGAACTTAAAGGTCTGGAGTCACTTAAATTAAGGAGTATTTAGGTTAATATTAACAATTTTGAAATGGGAACTTTCAGTGTAGACCTGAAAGGAAATGCATTTGAAAGTATGAGTGTCTTTGGATGGTGGAATTTAAATTTTTTGCCTGTACGATTTTCTGGTTTTACTTTTTACCTTCAGAATCAGCGCTAATGGCATTGTGTCTTGATAGGCAGAGAAAGTGGATGCTGCACTTCACACCATGCTGCTGAAACAGGAGCCCCAAAGGCAACATTTGGCCTGTCTAGGAACCTGGGTCCTTTACCATAACCTGCGGATCATGATACAGTATCTGCTAAGCGGCTTTGAGTTAGAGCTCTATAGCATGCACGAGTACTACTACATATACTGGTGAGTCGCCAGTTTGATTTACTGGGAATAGTCTGTTTAGCACGTTAGATCCCAGCACAGTGTAGAGTGCTCTTTCAGGGTACTTGCTGAGAGTTTTTTCGGTTTAGCTGTGGGACACTTGGAAAAGCAGTTATTGGAGATTGGAGCTAAATTTTCCTGAATATGTTTAAGGTGTTGCAGCATGCTACCAATACATTTAATACAAGTGATTCCAGTGTAAATAGATTAAGTAAAAATATTTTTTTCTGTTTTGCACATGTGGAGAAAAGGGATACATTGTGCTGTGCCTTCAGTGGCGGTAGGTGCTTGTTGAAAATGAAGTGGATGTTAAAGTTCCAGTGGGGCTCATCTGTCCTGAGTAGAAAGATGTCCACTGGCCAAGATGGTTGCTGGGAGCCTAACCGTGTCAGACAGAAGGGACTTACATCTTTTTCTGTGTCTAAAAGAGGATATTTAGATGCAGAAAAAGTTACCTAAAAAGGAAAGAAGAATATTCAGAATTTAAAAAGTCATCTTGAATCTTTTGCTAGTGTAGTGTGGTCATCATTTTAAAAAAATAACAATTGTGCTGCCCATGACAAGCGTATGAATTTAGCACATTCGAGTTTAATATAATTAGCCTTTTAAATTAATTTTGTAAAATTTATCTAATGTAGCAATGAAGATGATTTTATGTTTTCTGCAGTTACTGCTCTGAGGAAGTAATTCTCTTCCTTGCTGTTGGCATAATTTTATCATCATGAGCACCACAGGCTGTTAACAAATAGCTCCTGGCTGTGACCGATCTATTTGAGTGTCAGTTCTCATAATGTAAGAGTGATTTTATTTGCTCCCCTTTCAGTGGGAATTTTTATATAGCTCCTTGGGATTCATTTTATTAACGGTAAACACTCCTACTGCTTTTGTAGGGAAATAGGCAAAAGTACTTTCTTTTTGATTTAGCAGCTAATTTAAAATATTAACATTTGATTTCTTAGATCAAAGTATAATTTTCATGTGCTTTTTAACAAATTCTGGTATTCAGCAAATGAATAATAGTTCATTATTTATCTACAAATTTATTTCTTATTAATGAAAGAAATTTTAATTCTGTCCATAAGTGCCCTTGCAGTCTTCATTTTAAACTGCCTTTGGATGCAGTATTATAGACTGACTTCATGCATTTTCCGGTAATTGCTTCGTTCATCATGTGTGTGATCCCTGAAGCATGTGCACTCTTTTAAAACGAACAGTAGAAACAGCAGTCTTTTCTGTTGTTGTTTACAAGTTGAGAGATGATGCTCATATCTTCTGGTTCCTTCCCTGGATGCCCACAGTAACTGGAATTGAAGGACTGAGACCAGGAGCTAGGAACTCAGTTCAGGTCTCCAGGTGGGTAGCAGGGACGCAGCTTCCTGAGCCATTGTCACCCACTGCCTTCTAGGCATGCATTAGCAAGAAGCTGGCATCAGGAGCAGAGCCAGGTCTTCTTAAAAAAAATTTTTTTGGGCCCGGCGCGGTGGCGCAAGTGGTTAAAGGTCCTCGCCTTGCACGCCCGGGATCCCATATGGGCGCCGGTTCTAATCCCGGCAGCCCCGCTTCCCTTCCAGCTCCCTGCCTGTGGCCTGGGAAAGCAGTCGAGGACGGCCCAAAGCTTTGGGAACCTGCACCCGCGTGGGAGACCCGGAAGAGGCTCCTGGCTTCGGATTGGCATAGTATCGGCCCGTTGCGCTCACTTGGGGAGTGAATCATCGGACGGAAGATCTTCCTCTCTGTCTCTCCTCTCTGTATATCCGCCTTTCCAATAAAAAAAAAATAATAAAAATAAATCTTTAAAAAAAAAAAATTTTTTTTTATTTTATTGGAAGGCAGATGTATAGGAACAGGGAGAGACAGAGAAAAAGATCTTCCATCCGCTGGTTCAGTTTCCAAGTGGCCACAATGGCAGGAACTGAGCCAATCTGAAGCCTAGCTGATCTGAAGCTTGGAGCCAGGAGCGTCTTCTGGGTCTCCCACAGATGCAGGATCCCAGGGCTTTTGGCTGTTCTCCATTGCTCTCTCAGGCCACAAGCAGGAAACTGGATGGGAACTGGATGGGAAGTGGAGCAGCCGGAACACAAGCCAGTGCCAGTATGGGATCCTGGCTCATGTAAGGCAAGGATTTTGCCATTAAGCTATCATGCTGTGCCCCAGAGCCAAGTCCTAAAACCAGACATTCCAATGTGAAATCTGGCCATCTCAGTCACTAATGAAACCTCTTGACCAAAGGACCACCTCAGAAGCAGCACTCTTCAAACTTTATTGTGCATCATAGTCATTTGGGAAATACATTAATACACAAATTCCAAGGCTCAGTTCCTAGCCTGGTTTGGAAAATCTAGGGTGGGCTTTAGTCTTACTCATTTTGAACTAGTTCTCAGGTTGTTGGCCTAGTGATGACAGCTTAAGAAAGAACTACTAGGAATAGGGATAGATACCTGTGATTGTGCTCAGGATGACTGCATTCAGTACAGGAGTGTTCACATTTAGGCCTTCAGGTTCCGTCATCACTTTTTTTTCCTTGAAATTTTATTTATTTGTTTCTTTCTGGAAAGGTAGATTAACAGAGAGAAGGAGAAGACAGAAAGCTCTTTCATCTGCTGGTTACTTCCCAAATGGGTGCAGTGGCTGGAGCTGAGCTGGTGTGAAGCCAGGAGCCTCTTCCAGGTTTCCCACATGGGTGCAGGGTCCAAGGACTTGGGCCATCCTCCTCTGTCCTCCACGCATATGGGATGCCAGCATTGCAGGTGAAGGATTAGACTGTTGAGCCAACATGCCAGCCCCTAGCTTTTTTTTTTTCTGTATTAGTCTTGATGCCAGCTTTCTGCTAATGCGTGCTATGGGAGCCAGCAGGGGATGCCTATGGTAATTAGGTCTGTGCCAGCCCCAGGTGTTGTGGGTATTCAGGGAGTGCACCAAGGGATGGGAGATCTCTGTCCAACTTTTCCCTTTCCCTTTCTGCCTTTTAAATAAATATTTTTAAGAGGAATCACTGAGTTTTCTTACATGTGATTGCATGTTAATTTTTTTCAGTGAAAGCTCATGGAGGTACCTGATAGCTTGAAAGGCTTGAATCCTGTCTGGCACCCTCCTCATTTACCTATCTCTGTGATAAATGCTTTTCCTTTTTTGAAGATTTACCTACTTACTTGAAAGGTAGACTGACAGCATGTGAGGGGTCAATTTTTCATCTGCTGGGTCATTCCCTGTAACAGCTGTAACTGGGCCAAGCCAGAGTCACGAGCCCAGCACTCTACACATCCTACGCGGGAAGCAGGGCCCACGGATTTGGGCTTCCTTCTGCTGCCTCTTGGGCACATTGACAGGGAGCTGGAGCAGAAGCAGAACAGCCAGGGCTTGAACGAGTGCCCTGATGTGGGATGGTTGGGTTGCAAGCAGGAGCTCAGTGTGCTGCGTTGCACCAACTGCTAATAAATATTTATATTAAATTCAATGCCAAGAATTATTTTCCCTCTGTAACAAGTTGAATTTTTGACTTTTTAAATAAGATTTATTTATAGGCCTGACATGATGGTTCAGTGGCTAAGTCCTTGCTGTGGTCTTATATAGGTGCCAGTTTGTGTCCCAGCTGCCTCACTTCCCATCCAGCTCCCTGCTTGTGGCCTGGGAAAGCAGTAAAGGACAGCCCAAAGCTTTGGAATCTTGCACCCATGTGGGAGACATGGAAGAAGCTCCTGGCTTTGGATCAGCTTAGTTCTAGCTGTGGTGGCCACTTGGGTAATGAACCAGTAGACAGAAGATCTTTCTGTAGCTCTGCATTTCTAATTTTTTTAATTGTTTTTATTTGAGTGACAGTTACATCTAGCAAAATAGAGACAGAGATTTTCCATTTTCTGGTTCATTCCACAAGTGGCCACAATTACTGGGGCTAGGCTGACTTTGTCTGAGGTTCCTATATGGATGCAAGGTCTCAAAAGAGCCCTGTTGGGGCATCTTCTGCTTTCCCATTCACAGTAGCAGGAATATGGATCAGAAGCAGAGCAACCAGGATTGAAGCCAGTGTTTAAATGGGATTCTGGTGCCACAGGTGGAGGCTCAGTCTGCTTTGACACCACTGTGGTCCTAAACTCGTTACCGATGAAAGTGTATTCCTCTTTTTGCTTTAGTTGCAAGGAACCATAGTGGTTTATTTGGCTTCATTCATTGCAAGTATATCTTTTTACTAGTCTTTGTTTTAAAATCTCACATGCTGTTTTATGTTTTACTATTAGCTTCTGCCTCACATTTTAAGGGGAAATTTTAGGACTTTGCTGTATATACTTAAACTGATTATAAAATCTAATAAAAACTTTAATTTTCACTTAGTGCACTAATAAGCCTTAATTTTTTTTTGTTATGGATTTTATTTTAAAGAATGTGTGTTCTTGATTTAAACTACTTTTCTAGGTTAGAACAGTACTATGCTAGATACTTTAAACTTTGAACCATTAACATTTGGTAGAAAATTTTTTTCACTTTTTGTTTGTTGAGTAAACGCCAAGTAAATTATAATTCTGAGTGCTCCATATTTTTAAGAATGATTTTTTGTTGCCAATAACTTTTTATCTTACACATTTTTTGCTTTCTTCTTTGCTCGGTAAGTAAAAGAAATAGTCACTTAGATTGGCAAGTGAAACATGTCCCGATAGAATAACAACAGTTTGAATAGTCATCCTTTTGGTGTGTGTGTAAATACACATCAAGAAATCTTCTGAGAAGTTGGTTCTTATAAGATCTGATATTTTATGTGATTGGATAATATTCTAAAAATTTAGGCTTTACTTTAAAATGTTTGTTCCTACTGCTGACTGCATGCATTGCTAAAGGTGTCCTTTGGATATGGGCTGTGAACCCTTTGTGTCCTTTAAGGTACCTGTCGGAGTTCCTTTACGCGTGGTTGATGTCCACCCTGAGCCGTGCAGACGGCTCTCAGATGGCTGAGGAGAGGATAATGGAAGAGCAGCAGAAAGGACGCAGCAGTAAAAAAACAAAGAAGAAAAAGAAAGGTGCTGTGAGTTATTTCTAACTGCAAAGATTAAGAACCTTGGCTATACTTTGATTTCTACAAATAAGCAGATAGAGAGCTGCTTGTGAATTTTAATAGGTGGATAAGTCATTGTATTTTAGTTCCTGGTAGTCAGCTCTTCAGAAATTATAAAGCAGGGAACCCATCCCAGTACTGGGATGTAAGCTGTTTGGATTCCTTTCCTTTCCTTGCTTTGCTTCCATACTTCTCTGTGGCTCAGTGGATTTTAGATCAAGAAGCAGTAACCGTGTGGAATGTGCCAGCAAGAGAGCTGAAGGAACAAGACAGCAGGCTGTTGGTCCTTTCCAGCCTGGCAGAATGTGGGGCAGCCGCTGCAGAGCTGTGCTGTCACAGGTGATCCCAGAGCAGCTCGAGGTGCCAGTGGAGTCCCTGCAGAGGAGCTGATCCCTGGGGAGAAGTATGGCCACGTTGCAGGTGTTTGCTTAGGAACTGAGCCCTGTTGATGGGTTGCTCAGTCAGTCTGTTCATGTGTTTCCTGTGTATAGGATAGATCTCTGTATAATGAATTCGGAAAACTTAAACTTACTTCAAACTCGAGCTTTATTGTATTAGGTATTTTTAGGGAGCTTGATTGTTTTTCAACTGTATTTTATTGTTTCTAGATTTTTGGCTGAAAATCAAATGTAACCTATGCAAGCAAACAAACTTTCATTTAGTAAACAAAATGTTAATATTATTCAGTTAGATTTTCTCTTGCAGTAATACAAGAGGAGGAGGGGAAGGAGTCTGGTTGATTGTCTTTCTAATTGCAGTTCGTCCACTGAGCCGTGAGATCACCATGAGCCAGGCCTACCAGAACATGTGTGCTGGCATGTTTAAAGTAAGTGGTTGAATGTGAAGTTCCTCTGGCTATCTGATGTGTTGTCCCTCCGGATTTTAAGTAAACTCTTTTCTGCGATTCTTTTTTTTTTTTTTTTTTAAGATTTATTTATTTATTGGAAAGTCAGATATACAGAGAGGAGGAGAGACAGAGAGGAAGATCTTCCGTCCGATGATTCACTCCCCAAGTGAGTGCAACAGCAGATGCTGTGCCGATCCAAAGCCAGGAGCCTCTCTGGGTATCCCACGTGGGTGCAGGGTCCCAAAGCTTTGGGCCGTCCTGGACTGCTTTCCTAGGCCACAAGCAGGGAGCTGGATGGGAAGTAGAGCTGCCAGGATTAGAACTGGCGCCCATATGGGATCCTGGAGCGTTCAAGGCGAGGACTTTAGCCGCTAGGCCACGCCGCTGGGCCCTTTTCTGCAGTTCTTTGGGTTCTGATTTCACTTTTGTTTTATTTACTTCCTACCACTTCAAGACTAATTGTTTTCGTTAGTTCAACAAAAATCAGAACCCCTATTGTGTCTCGGATGCCTTCTACCAAGTGCACTGTAGGTCACCAGTTCCAGTGAGGCATGCTCCTTGTTCCAAGGACCATCACTATTTATGGAGGCCAATCGATATCCCGTGTAGGACACAAGCAGTATAAATGGAAGAGATGGCTTCTGGTAGATGATAGTCAGAATCTGATGAGAGAGATAGGTTTGGGTTTTTCCAGAAATATACCAAGTCTTCAAAGTCTTCAGAACAAACAGCTTAAGGAAGAGTACGCATTTTCTTTTTCTTTTTTTCTTTCTTTTTTTTTTTTTTTTTTTTTTTTGCTTGTCCCTGTACCTTAAGTTTATGCAGCTGGGACTGGAAGAAGCTGAAACCGTGTACAGGCCTGAATGGCCTGCCCAAGCTATTCTAACTCTGTATAAAAGTTTCTTATTTTCCCTTGTGTTAAGTGAGTTCATAATGATTTCAAGCTTTTTTCTCATTTCCTTTTTCCTTTAGACCATGGTTGCGTTTGACATGGATGGCAAAGTACGCAAACCCAAGTTTGAGCTTGATAGTGAGCAAGTCCGGTACGAGCACAGGTTTGCTCCTTTCAACAGTGTCATGACCCCGCCACCAGTGCACTACCTGCAGTTCAAGGTGAACCCACTTAGTGGATTGCTCTGAATCTCTAGATCTTAAGATCTAAGTCTTAGATCTCAGGTACCAGTGATATGTTTTGTACGGAAAAAAAGAGTCACGATAAACGTCCTGGGTCAGTGGAAAAGGTGATAAAAATAACAATTTTAAATAGTGTGAAAATCTTTTGGCTTGGTTGCATGTACTCGTCACATTAACTCTCACTTAAGTTCTAAGTGGTATATGAAGGTAAGAATTGACTACTTGATGTGAAACAATGGGGAGATTTGCTGAGGGCTTCAGAGTCTGTGTATGGATAGATAATCATTGCAAAATCCTTTAATAAGTAAAAGATGCATTGTAGAGGGTTTCTGATGTGGATGTTTTAAATAATAGGTCCTCCCTCCCCCCCCCCATTTTTCTTTTAGGAAATGTCTGACCTCAATAAGTACAGCCCTCCTCCTCAGTCTCCTGAACTGTATGTGGCAGCCAGTAAGCACTTTCAACAGGCGAAAATGATACTAGAGAATATTCCCAACCCGGACCATGAGGTGAGCCTGGGCTCACAGGGAGGCTTGGCAATAAGCGAATGTTCTACTATCGAACGAAAGTTAGTGATGAAAATGAATTTTGTATACTAGTAGCAAACTGCACTTGTCATGTTTCTCCCAGTGATTTCAAATTTCCAGGCCAACTTCATGAGATTAAAAATATTTTAGGAAAGAGGCAATGAAAACACCTGTCTTGTGTAAACTGAGGAATCGGTGCAAAGAGAAATTCAGTCTCAGAACCATAAAGTTGGCAGAAAGTGTAGAAATGAGACTGAGTGATTCCTTAGCTCCAAAGTGTTAATATTTAACTTTTTTCTGCTATAATCTGTGGTGCACTGTATTAAAACTATAAGTCTTAAATATGCAAAATAACATGGCCAATTATCCCAGAAACAGCTTTTTTCTACTTGACTTTTTAAAGTTTTGAAGACTTTGAGACATCAAAAAGACTAAATTTTATTGAAATCCATCTGTTTAGGAAATAATTGTTACTTGTTGAGTAAGTGCAACATTTTGAGAAGTATATTTTAGCGCAGCTTCCCTAATGAGGTAATAGTTTGGCAGTAGCTATCAAAAATTATAAATACTGAGGTGGACTTTCAGCACTAGTGGATTATGGTTAAGGCACCAGTTGAGATTCTCTTACCTTACATCAGAGTTGGAAGTCCTGAGTTCTCTTCTGTTTCCAGCTTCCTGTTCACACAGCCCTTGAAGGCAGCAGGTGATCGCCCGTGTAGTTGGTCCCTGCCACCCATGTGGGGAGCCTGTATGAGTTCCAGCTTCTGGCTTTGCCCAGCCCACCACCCCAGCTGCTGTGGGCATTTGGGATTCTTAGAACCGGCAAGCGGAAAATAGCTCTCTCTCAATGCAGAACCTAGTCACAAGTGCTTAGACCCAGCACTTCTTGTTTTATAGCTGCATGTGCGTGTACAGGAGATGAGTGAATGACAAAGTGTGTTTATTGCAGCAGGATTTGTAGTAGCGTAAAGATGGGAGAAGACAAGTGCCATACATTGGGATGCTATACTGGCATAGAAAGAACAAGGAACATCTTATATACTGTGTCAGAATGCTTTTCAGGATGTGAAAGTTTAAAAACTTGCTGCAAAAAATATACGATGATTTATATGACAGTGCTTGTTTCTTGCAGACTCCCTCCTCCAGTTATGTATAGCACCTGATGGAAGAGGGGCATGTAAAATCTGAAGACCCTGTAATAAAAGGCATATTTTATTTAGTGAAAACCTCATTTACTTCAGATTGATTGAGGGCTCACTATGTCTACAACAGAACGTAAACACTGATATCCCAGCCCTCATGGGATCAAGGAAGAAACAATGGCTTAAAACAGTATATAATTAGGTAATATTTGTAAGGACAGAACTCTATGAAGAAAAAATTCAAGCTTGGTATGAGGATTGGAAATGCCACAGGAAGTAAGGAATTGAGAAGGAGGCATTTTGAAATAATGTAGCCTTTGAGTAAGTCCTTCAGAAGTGAGGAAACAAGTCAGCTGTAGCTGGACCCTTCGGGGCTGAGGCTTCCTCTTGGGTAAAGGTCCCTGGAATACTCAAAAGGAGATGGGCTGGTGGTATTAGAGTGACATGAAGGGGGATGAGCTGTTTGGAGAGATGGACCAAGAGCTCTTTGTCCACTTCCCAAATGTCTGCCATAGCTGGGGCCAACTCAGCTAAAACTAGCAGCCAAATACTTAGTCTGGGGCTTCTGCATGGTTGGCACAGCCATTAGTACTTGGCTCCCTGAGTGCGAGGAAATGGGACTGGATCACGGAACAAAGACTTGATCTGGGACCCTCCAATCCAGGATCGGTCATCCTGAGCAGCATCTCAGTGCACCAAACTCTGCCCTTGGAGAGTTGGAAGTCGGAGGATTGATCAGATCCTGTCTATTGGAAAGCATCCCTGTGGCACTGTGCTGTCCGGGGGCAAGGACAGAGCAGGGAACACAGTCCAAGAGTTGGCCATGAACCCAGGGTGCAAGTGGTAGAAGCAGTTAGAAGTGATTACATTCTCTGTGGTTTAATGTCAGAGCACCTGTGTTGACTAAGAAATTAAATGTGGGAAAAGAGAATAAAAAGTAGAGGATGGCTTTGTGGTATTTGGGTTGAGCAACTGCATGGATTGTTTAGTGTGGGGAAGACTGCCAGTGGGGCAGGCTAGGTGACCTGGCAGGGAGAGCTTGGACATGTTCCTATTAAGGTGCATGTTAACATCCATCTGTCTCCTAGACATGTGTCTGATCTGGAGCCATGTCAGCCAGTCCTGAACTGTGCTGCAGAAAATCTGTTCCAGGAAGTGTTCCAAAAGGCAAGAGCTGAGGAAACTTTCCTTCTGATTTGGTCACGCTGAGAGAAATACGCTTTCCATTTTATTGCTATCAACATGTTTAAATGAAGCCTTTTGAACAAGAGGTCCTCAGAAACAGTAAATTAGCACTCACAGGACACTTACTACCTACAGGCAGGGTTCCAGGCCCAGAGTGTGCGCACTCACTTGATCCTTCCCACATGTGTTTTTGGACTAGGAAAACTCACCATGTCCATTGTCACAGATGAGACTTGGGAATAGCCAGAAGGCCCATCGAGGCAGTGACCTAACCCCAGAGTGCAGACTCCAGGCGCTGCCCAGGCTCCCTTTGTAGGGCTTTGCTGCTGATTGTCCTTTTGTGTTCATGAAAGCAGGATACAGTGGCCCTTTCAAGGCTTCAGTGTTAACCAAAGAGTTCTCTGTTGAGTGGTGTATAACATGTGTCTGTGATTTTAAGTTGCCATCAACAAAATATCAACATTTCCATTATGTTGACAAGTAAAATAGAAATTCAATCATGAATTAACAACTATGTTGGTATTTTAGGTCAACAGAATTTTAAAGGTTGCCAAACCCAACTTTGTGGTTATGAAGTTGCTGGCAGGAGGACACAAGAAGGAATCTAAGGTACGTACATCATTGGGAAAATCAGTGGTCTGAAGTTACAAGACCATTTTATTCAATAAGATAAACATTACAGACCAGGTTAACACACTGCATGAAATCATCCTAAAAAGTTCAGTAGTGACAAAACAAAGCTTACTGCTTTACTTTGAATTACAGCATTTGTTCACTTAAAATTTCCAAAGTCTGCTCCTGTGTCCCACCCCTTCCCCTGCTGTGTAAATTACTGAGTAAATTGGGGTGAAAATGTATAAAACAAAATCATAGGAAGTATAGATTTAAAACCTTTGGAAACACTTTTTCTTGGCACATAAGATAGGATATGTGTAAGCTTTTGTTAGTGCCACTGTGTTAGCACTTTGGCACAGATGTTGTGCATGTGTCAAGCACTCCACGGAGCTTTGCCCACTGCATGTCATTCTTTTCCTGATGTGTATGCTGTCCCTCTTGCCCTGCCTTATACATGCTGACTTCACTGCTTAGTATTAGCAGTGATTCTGCCAACCCCCGAGCTAATGGAGTTCCTTTACTGTAGTTCAAGCCCATTTTCCTTTGTAACTCTTAAAGATAGCCAGCACCATTCTTCATTATCATCTTTTTTTTTAAAAAAATACGTTTTTTTAATTGGAAAGACAGACTAGATTTACATAGAGAAGGAAAAAACGATCTTCCATCTGCTGGCTCACTCCCCAAATGGCCACGATGGTTGAAGTTGAGCCAGTCCAAAGCCAGGAACCTCCTCCTGGTCGCCCACACAGGTGCCGGGTCCCAAGGACTTGGGCCATCCTTGATTGCTTTCCCAGGTCAGAAGCAGGGAGCTGGATGGGAAATTCAGTAGCCAGGACACAAACTGGATCCCAGTGTTTGAAGGTGGAAGATTAGCCAGTCAAGTCATTGTGCTGGGCCACCTCTTATTATTTTAAACTGAGAAATGAGCTGCTCATTTTCCCCTCTACATTTGTCCTTCACTTAATTCTGTCATCAAGCCTCTTTTTATTCCTTTTGCGCTTCGTTGTTTCTAGAAACAGGAAACTCTCAAACCTAAAGTCCTTACTGTCTGAATTTGGTTTTAAATATTTATTTCAAAGAGTTAGGGACAGAGGTCTTCCAATCCACTGGTTCACTCCCTAGATGGCCACAATGGCCAGGATTGGGCCAAGGTGAAGCTGGAATCCAGGAACTTTTGAGTCTCCGGGCTTAAACACTTGTCATGTTTTGCTGTTTTTCTCAGCCCATTGGCAGGGAGCTGGATTGAAGTGGAGAAGCCAGAACTTGAACCGATGCCCACATGGAATGACCGGTTGGCAGGTCTTGGCTTTACCTGCCATGCCATGTGTCCTCAATTTTTGCAAGCATATTAACTAGCGTTTGGATTTTTGTTACAGGTTCCTCCTGAATTTGATTTCTCGGCTCACAAATATTTTCCTGTTGTGAAACTTGTTTGAGAGTCTGAGAAGGTGCCGAGGAGGGGAATCTACTTTCAGATTCTGCCGAGAGGATCCATCGTCTCCGTCTGTCTTACACATAATGTGATGTGAAATGGATTTCTTGGATAACCACCCATCATAAGGAACTTTTAGTTTGACAGCCTTATATGACGTGAATGAAAACTGCTGTTTTAAAGTGGTTTATTATGTTCCATGGATGAAACTGGTCTTATTGAATGCATTGATGAACGCTATATGGTTTTATTACAGATTTAACCATAAATCATTTTTTATGAATGACTGAGTGAAAATAGTGTTTGTAAAGGTTAATAAATTTCTTGAGAAAAAAACACACTACTGGAGATGAAAAGCAGTAGCACTTTATTGAGACATGTGAGGGAATTTATTCAGTACTAGAATAGTTTAAGAAAACTATCCAAAGGGTGTTCACATTAAGGGATTTGTTAAGCACTTGTAAGATATTTCTGGTATGTACCAGTGTCTTGAAGATATGGAAGATGCCAGAGACAGATACATTGTGGTTTTGTGTTGTAGTATAAAGTTTGCAACATCCTGCAACTGGCAGTTGAAAAAGTGCACACACCATTTGCGGGTGATGTTATTTGAGCAGTAGGAAGGTAGGAATGTGCTAGTTAGTCCATTTTTGTGTCACCTTCCTTGTCACTTCCTAAGTGGTAGTCTGCCCTGCATCCTCTGGCTTTGAAAACTGGGCTTTAGAGCTGTGTGCCCATTAGAGTGTCCTGTGCCAGGACCACACCCTGTGCTGTTCTGCTTCCCTGCCTGTGGTGTCTCCCTGGTAGTAGTGAAGCCTTGGTGGATGAGAGATCTGTGCTCTGTGCAGGTCATTGTTGTTAGACTAAGCCACAATAGGGTTTACTAAGACTAGTTACTGTAATCTTGGAATGTGGGGACACATGGTGAAAATGACAGTAGTTTGATCTGTAGTTAGGTACAAGGTGCAGTCTGGAATGGAGATGTAAGAGGACTGAGTCAGAACTTTGCACTTAGCAGTTGCTTAGGAAGTGTGGAGCACAGTGACTTAACGTTGGCATAGGAGATGGCCAAGGTATTGAAGTGGGCATGCTGCAAAGCGTGAGTGCCTCAGGAGGTCATGCCAAGGACCAGTCATGGCTAACAACATGTGTTCCCTGTCTCCCTCTGGCTGTGTCTCTGGGCACAAGGGGATCATCTCCTTTACTGGTGCCTTTTTTAGTAGCCAGGAAATGAGCAGAATGTAGGGGCAGGTGTCTCTAGAAAATGGTCAGGAAGGATTGGTCTCTGGGATTTGATGAGCGTAAGTTACGCTAACAACCAAATGTACACGTCCAGGAGTGGGAGACGCTGAGGGGTAGCTGGGGGAAGAAAGAGACCAGGTGAACTGCATCTGGAAATTGGCTTTTCCACATCTTACCCACCATGTGCTTGGGTGTGCTCTTCAATCACTGAATTCTAAGCCTGGTCACTTAGCCTCCACTCCTGTGGTTAATGGCCTAACCTATTCCCAGGAACACTGTTTTGGTTCTCTGTGCCTCTCCCACTTCATTCTGACAGCTGCTCCTCAACCCTGCTGAGTCTCCAGCCTCTTCTAGCTAGTCTGCCCTCCCTTCATAGTTCAGCTGCAGTGTCCGTTCCTAGGGATGCACTATACTCTCCTGGTATAGTTAAAAGCCTCCAGAGGCCCTACTTACCACCTTAACAGTGGCTCAACTTGGAATTTTTCAGCTTGATGAGATGAAAGTCACATGTATCCAATCAACCACACATCAGGTTGTAGACTTACAGGTCTTCCTGGGCTAGCATCAAAGCTGATGACCTCTGGTACTGCAATGCGGCAGAGTGAGCCAAGCTCCCAGGCAGCTGGAGTGCAGAACTGCCAGCCCCGTGTACAGGTAGGTGTCCATAACCTCTGTACTTAGCACCCTTAGAATTGAAGTTATTCACGGCTTTTATGTTCACAACTCTAGGGTAAACCTGAACAAACTTCATCTCTCCAGCATCTTATACTTCATGGAATGGAATCAGTAGTACCTGCTCACTCTTTTTGGGGCACATGGGTTTTGTAAGTGATAAAAAGTCCTGAGGGCAGTGAGCTATCTGGGGGGGACACCAGAGGGAAAAAAATGAAGAACCTTAGCATCTTGAGATGTCCACTAGGAGACACTAGATGAGAACACAGGGCAGGGAGGGGCGGGCAGGAACCAGAGGCAGGAAGCTGCATTGTGGCAGAAGCCAGGTGATGTGGTTTCTGCAGGTAGCCATCTAAACCCAAGTTTGTGTACCACTTGCTTCCCCATCTTTGGCGGAGACCCAGCACTTGCTTTTGTAATTAAGGCACATACACTTGGAGTGACTGAACATTTTCTTACTGATGCCTTCCAGAGCTACTGAAAATATGCCTTTTTAGAGATGAAACCATATCAACCTATATGTTTCTTTATACTGCAAGTTTTAAGATTTTTTTTTTTTACTTGAAAAGCATAGTTACAGGGACAAGGAGAGAGCTCTCCAAACTGCTTGTTCACTCCCCGAATAGCAGGAGCCGAGCCAACCCAAAGCCAGGAGCTCTTCAGGACTCTACCATGGACGGTGTTCGCTACCCTCCCAGACCATCAGCAGGGAGCCTGATGTAAGTGGAGTTGCTGGGACTCAAACCAGTGCCATAAGGGATACTATTACTGCAGGTAGAAGCAGCCTACACCATGGCATCAACCCCCTACACTGCAAAGTTTTTACTGCCATCTTCTGCACTTAGTGCCTTCCATTGGAACAAAGAATGTTCTCTGGATTTCCAAGCATGTGTGTAGGATTCAAATATTAAGCCAACAGGAGGAAAGCATGTTGGTTTTGTTTTGATCAGACATGTCACCCGCTGACTTGCAGAATGGCTTGTGTGAGCCCTTCTCGGAAATCCACAGCAAGGAGAGTTACAGGAAGGACAGATCTTTAAAGGAATAAGCAGGCAGCTGCAGTCTGTTAAACTTTCAGAACTGCCTTTACGTGCTGCTCAAATATTGATGCAGCAGTTGTTTTACAGTGCAGTAAAGTGCACAGATGAACATTTTCATTTGGCGGACCTCATCCAGCGTGCTGGAGGTCCAATTACGTCACTATAACTTTGGGGGAGATGATTAAGAGAAATTGTTTGGCCTTGGTCAAATGTTTGCCAAGCATCTGTCAAAGCATTAGGAGTTCTATGATGATACAGTGAGCAAGGCATGGTCTCCTCCCCTCTGGATTTTTATTCTGGGTTGCACAGTATAGTTTTCTTATTCAGTAAGTAAAATTGAACAAGTTCATTTGTCTCAAAAGGTTAGCACTTTGTTTATAAAAAAATTAAAGATACTTCCAGTTGTTCAGTTTCAACAGAAAAATTAAGGACAAAAACCAGTTTTTTTCTAAAGTTCATGGGAAAATATTTTTAAGGGACAGTGGTTTATTACAATCAAAACACTGACAGTGTGTTAAGCTAATAATCTCTGGGGGAAAAAATACCGCATTAATGGGATCTTAAATTTGCATGCACTAAAATTTGTTTTAAAGGCAAATGTTCAAGTTGCTCAACATCCCATAATTGTCATTATTTATCATTAAGCCAAATGCCTAATGATGGTAGACTAATTCCTTGGGCTTAAATTACCCAAGATTTATAATTGTCTTCTGTCTTTTCAGGTTGCACTACGAATGGACAACCAGTTACCAGAAATTACAAAAAGAAAAAAAAAGGAATTGTGATAGTGTAGTTGACTTAATTACTAACAACGGTTTATTTCTCAGATTCCATCACACACAAGCCTACTGAGTACTATAATGATTAGATTATTCATAAGTATCACAGCTGCTGGAGGACTCCCCCAGTATATCCTATGTTGAGGGGAAAAATAAAACCAATAAACTCATCACTCCTGTCCACAGAAAGGTAAACTAAACAGTTTAATATTAAACTTAATAGCTATTGATTTCATTTGAGATGAGTCCGAAGCCCCAGGCCATTGCTGACCCCTGTGGTTTTGTGCTGTCCTGAGTGCTTCCCAGCTCCCTCAGTGCCCTGCCCCACACCCAGGAAACCAGTGGGACTGCTCCAAGTGCACACCCTGGGACAGCTACAGGGAGGTGAGGATTCTGCTCACACCACATCAAAGGGGTAATCCATGTGGAAATTAATCATTTCAGAGGATGAAGGAAAACAGAGTTGAACTCCTCACACATTAGCATGAAGAAAAAGCGAGCAGTTGCTATGGATGCTAAAGACTGGGGACCCTCAGGGAGACTGCAAAGGACTTAGAGGATGGAGTCCCACCTGGTTAGCCACCTGCAGGTGCGTTTCTGGGTAGGGATTTTAACCATCCTGGCTGAAGGATAACCCTGCACAAAGAGCATCTGAGTGGGAAGTTGTGAGTGCACATGGGTCCTGCCTCGCGCAGCCACCCGAGCTGCAGCTGAGCTGCCAGAAGCTTAGGACCCTACGCTGCACTCAATGTTGGGTCCAAGAGTAAGGCTTCATGTGACTGCCCGTCAAGTAGTGAGAGCCTAATTATCAGGAAGAACCAACTCTAGGCTAACCTAATGTCGTAACTACTGTGAATTACAATTAGTCATTTCCACACTTAAGCTTTGAATTTTAAATCGGTTTTTTGTCATTTAGCATAAACTGTATAACCTGTAAAAGACAACTATTTCATTTATCCCACCTTTCTGGACATTGCTAGTTTGTAACAGGAGTTAATTTTCCTCTCTATAAAGTAGGCACCGAGAAGTGCAGGAGTCTCAAATGGCAGGCTTCCTCACTGTGCTCTGATGCCATGTCTTGGCCCGTTCTGCCAGAAAGAAGTCTTACTGCTTTCAGGACTGTGTACTTACTAGACATGTTTTTCCCATACATATGAAGCAAACGAGTCCACAGACGCCAAATTATCAGTTACTTAGCAGCTTGTTCAAGCAGGACAATATAGTCTGAAAACTGCCACAGATCAGCTGTGCAGAGGGATGTGCTGGAACCAGTGCCTGGCACCATCTGTTCCCGATCAGTGCATGGGACTCAGATGGTAGCACCTAGAGCCACAGCATCAGCCAGTCCTGGAGGGGCACCTGGCCTTCCTGCCACACACACTTCCCACAAGGTCTGCTGCTGCCGCCACACTTGGAAGTGAACTTTTGTTCTACATTTGGTGTTGCTCTTATAGAATACCTACCAGCAAACAACAGTTCTTTACAAATTTGCACCTCCTATTATGGATGCTAAAAAAGTGCCCCACAGCTGTCTGAGGTATACAGGACCCAGCCTCGAGTGTACGAGTTGCACGGCTCTGTGTCTTCAGTCCCATGGATATCCTGCAGTGGTCTCTGTTGGCTCCCGATGTGATGCAGTGCAATTCCAGTTCTGCTCAGAGTGTATGATTCTCCTCTTCACGCTGATCCAGTAAATTTACAATGTTCTTTTTCTCATCTTCAGCTTTAACAACTAGAAAGAAAACACACTTCGAGTAGCAGTCTAGTACCAAGTGTCCTGAGAAGCCAGCCCAGGGGACCCCATATCACATCCACCTCTGGATTGTGTGTCACAGGGGGACACTGTCTCCGGTGGCAGCACTGTAACGCGGAGCTGCGTTCCTCACCGAGAAAAAGCAGTGTGCTGAGAAGCAAAGCTGAAACCCCTCACAGTGCCACAACTTTAAACTGCTGCTCCACTGCCTGTAAAACGCTCTTGCACAGTTCTGGGCATGTTCCCGAGCCCCCGTGCTGCTATCCCAGGGCTGTGGGCCCTCTCTGTAGAGCCTCAACATCCAGAGGACTTCCACCTAGCGGCTGCACTCTCCTTTGACACTGAAGACATAGCACAACTAAAAACTAGTACCCCGACACACACTACTGTACATTAACAATCATTAAGTAGATTAACGGTGCCCATTAAAGTGCTCCACAACAGGCTGCCTCTTCGAACTTCTATGGAGCGATCTGGGCTCTAAACACACTAAGTGCCATAATTTGAGGTGATGTTGACAGCACATCACATGGAGAAGGGAAAGTGACAGATTTCACTGCAAACCCAGCACTTAGTAAACTACCCAGTATCATTCTAAGCCTTTAAAAATCTGCAGGACACCAACCTCAAGCACTGAGAGACAGAGCCAGTGTTGTAAGCCACCACTTGGGACTCCAGCATCCAGGGCACCTTAGCTTTTCATTTCCACTTGGGAAAGCAGTACAAAATGGCTGTGGTGCTTGGACCCTTGCAAGAGACCAGGATGGAATCCCTGGTTTTGTCCTGGCCTAGCCCTGGTTGTTGCAGATATTTGCAGGGTAAACCATCAGATGGAAGAAATTTCTCCCTGTTGTCTCATAACTGTTCATCTGTGTAGAGTATGGAGAGCCTGCTTAAAATTCTTACAATGAAATATTTTTCTTCTGGACTGAGACAGTTTTTCAAAAACAAAAGGATTGGACTTCAGTTGAAACAACTGACAGCTGGGAATATAAATGATTCTTTTTTTTTAATGTCTGCTTGTTTGAAAGGTAAAAAGAAACGGCTGTCCAGCTACTGGTTCACTGTTCA